GCTCGGTGGGACATCACTACCTCTCATCTCTTCTCTTCAAATCAAATTCAAAAATCTTTGAAGATGCATGAAGACCTCTTTGAAGACGATGTACAAGGAGCAACAAAGGACGATGTCTCTTTAAGCCATGAAGCCACCGAAAATCGATGATTTTATCAAATTCATCCAAATGGAGGCAAACAAAAGAGGTTCTAAATGTCCTCCTCAAAACGTATTCCATGGGGGCAATTTACATGAAGAGCTTCATCAAATCAAATTCAATGCTCCTTGATACGAGCCTAAACTATCTATAAAGCTCCTCGTTATGAGAAAAAACTATCAAAATATTTAAATTCAATGCTCCTTGATATGAGCCTAAACTATCTACAAATTCCAATGTGTTTTGATATGAGTCTAAACTATATACAAATTTAAATGCGTTAGTAAACTCAAACCGAAGCGGAGAAGATCCAAGATTGACTTTGCAGTGAAGACCAATGCCTCCTTCAAGCTTGTTCACAGATAAAATATCTTGGTAGTGAATGAGTCTCAAAAGTTAGAAATTTTGGATTTAGTTTGACCATGCAAGTTTAACCTCTTATCTAGGAGTTCTTCAACTTCAATTTGTAGATAGTTTAAACTCATATCAAGGAGTTCTTCAATTGACTTGAACTCGTATTAAGGAGTCTTGATTTCACTTGAAAGATAGTTTACACTCGTATCAAGGAGTCTTGATTTGATATGATTTGTAGATAGTTTATACTCGTATCAGAAAGATCTTCAATTGACTTGAATTTTAGATAGTTTAAACTCGTATCAAGGAGTCTTGATTTGGCTTAACATATAATTTATATTTGTATCAATGAGTCTTGATTTGATTTGATTTGTAGATAGTTTATACTCGTATCAAGGAGTTCTTCATTTGACTTGATTTGTAGATAGTTTAAACTCGTATCAAGGAGTCTTGATTTGACTTGACAGATAGTTTATACGCATATCAAGGAGTCTTGATTTGATTTGATTTGTAGATAATTTATACTCGTATCAAAAAATTCTTCATATTTGACTTGTAAAAATTTTATTCTCACGTCTAGGAGATTTTGATATATAGACCTTTTATTTTCGAGACAAGGAGTCTTTAGTTTTTACACATTTTATTCTCGTGTCAAGGAGCTTTCAAGTTTGTAGACATTTTATACTCGTGTCATGGAGCTTAAGAATTTGTATATAATTTATTCTCTTATCAAGGAGATCTTGATTTTCTGTAGACATTTTATGCTCGTGTCAAGGAGCTTTCAAATTTGTTGACATTTTATGCTCGTGTAAAGAAGTTTTGAAATTATTACATAGTTTATTCTCTTATCAAGAAAATCTTGTTTTTGTAGACATTTTGTGCTCGGGTCAAGGAGCTTTCAAATTTGTGGATATTTTATGCTCGTATCAAGGAGCTTTCAAATTTATAGACACTTTATGCTCGTGTGAAGGAGCTTTTAAATTTGTAAACATTTTATGCTCATGTCAAGAAGTCATATAGATAGTTTACGCTCATATCAAGGAGAGAATTATAGGTAGTTTAAGCTGATATCAAGGAGCATCTAAATTGAAGTTTTGGATAGTTTTTGCTCTTATTGAGGAGCTTTATAAATAATTTATGCTCATATCAAGGAGCATTTTGAATTTTTAGATAGTTTAGGCTCATATTAAGGAGAATTTCAATTGAAATTTTTGGATAGTTTTTGCTCAAATCGATGAGCTTTATAGTTAGTTAATGCTCATATCAAGGAGTATTTTGAATTTATAGATAGTTTAGGCTCATATAAATGAGCATTTGAATTTGAGAATTTGATGAAGCTCTTCATGTTGCCCCCATTAAACCTGTAGTAAGAAGGACTGTAGAGCCTTTTTGTTTGTCTCCATTTGCATGAATTGGATGAAGTCGGCGATTTTCGGCGGCTTCATGGCTTGAGAAGATATCAACCTTAATTGTCTCCTTGTACATTGTCTTCAAAGAAGTCTAAAGCATCTTCAAAGATTTTTGAACTTGATTTGAATAGAAGGGGTGAGAGGCAGAGAATGTCCCACTGGGCGTGCCAAATTTGTAACAAAACATTTATGAAAAGCATAAATTTTTTGTACATCTTGAATATATTTTATCAAACGATTTTTCAGGTTCAATCTCTATTTATCTCATCTGATTCTTCTTGAACTTGGACTTGAAGTTCAAATTTGATTTGACAATTGGATCTCTTTCGGATTTGATCTTCAATTTGTCTAGCGTTAATTGGGGAGTCGAATGATTTGATCCCAAATTATCTTGATTTGATTAGAAACGGACTTCTTGGAGGTCTTGCTTCTTTGATTTTCCTATAATGTGGATTCTAACTTGAATAATGTTGACTCGAGGACTTGAGCTTTTCCTAGACTAAACATTATGTTGCTTGATCTTCTCGACGAACACGGCTCGAATGTCGTTTGAACGTCGTCAATATTCTTGGAATGATTTGAAAGGAGTGGATGTCATTTACTTCTTGGGGATGAGCCACCGCCTCTTTCTCATCTTCTTGCCCTTCTTCGTCATTGAACGTACATTGGCAGTTTGAAAGCTTGGTTGCGGGTTGAACGTCGATCTTCAACTTTAATATCCTTAGATCTTCAGCTTGAATGTCCTTGGATCTTCAAGAATGTCTTCAAATATTCAAGAGAGGATTTTAGAGTTCTTGAATTTGAGACTTTGATTTATAATGTGTGAATTGTAATATTGAGGAGAGCCCTATTTACATAAAGTAAAAACCAATTTCTTGTACCATCAGATATTTATATATTCCCCTTATATATAATTTTCGAATGCGGTGAGCCGATGTCACTGCTTCTGGTGTTTCAGAATCTTACTTGGGGAAAAATCATGCTTTATAATTAAGTTAATTTGAACAAATAATATTGATATATTAATAATTAATAATCTAGGTCCGGACAATATTTTAATATCACTTGTACTGATTTAGCCTTTAATTCTTTGTAATTTTACATAGTGAGACACTAAGTGACTAATATATCTCTGACTTTTGATTTGTTTCCTTCAATTAACTATTGATATTTTTTCTTTTGAATTTTATAGAAAAAGAAACGCAAATCGATATTGTTGTTCGGACAGTTTTCTTTTGATCACCAAGGTCAAGCTATTGATATTTTTCCTTTTGAAAATTCGTTGTTGCGACAATAATGGGAATATTGCAAATCGAACTAATAACGTTGTATATCGAGAAGTTTTTTAAAATTTGAAATAATATTACAATATGTGTTTTTATTTCATGATTTAATTTTATCTTTATTTTTTATATTATTATATAAATTATTGTAGTTCTACCTTTTATGAATCAAAATTTCTCTTAATTACCCGTGTATCACACGGGTGTTAGTACTAATATCCATTAATTCCAAATTATATAAATAGTCCAAATATATTTATTTTTACGATATTATAAAATTAAAATATTAAATCTCACATATATACAGCGCACTTAAGTAACCACACAAAAAAAGTACTACTTTTGACTTCGAAAAAAAAAGGCGCCGAAAGTTTTGTCTCTCGATCTCTCTAGCTAAAAACTTCCAAATTCATTGTTCTAATTATTAATTATTATACTTGTATATTTAAGTCACGTTCATTAGTCTAGGTCGAAATAAATAACTTTTGCTCCATAAATAAATTGATTGAATAGTAATTTGAAAAAATAAATGAACTTCAGTGAAATATATAAAATTCAAGTGGGACAACTGGAGATAATAAATGTGAACTTTATTTACTAGGCTAAATTTGATACTTTATTGAAAAATAAATTAAATAACTGAACCAACATTTATATATATGTATATCATAATAATGTAATATGAATAAAATAAAAATAAAAAATATATATCTTCTCCAATTTTTAAAATTATTTTTCGTATTATGACGAAAAATATTAACATATTATATCGTTTATAAAGTATAAATTATAATGGGTCTATATTAGGTTGCTTATTAATTAAAATTTATACTTTCTTGACCAAAAATACGCACTTGAATTATAGAAGATCATATTTTTATTTATATTGTAACTTAAGATAATATAAAAGTATATGCAGGTCATTACATTACAAATGTAACATTAAGTTTAAGTATTTCACATTTTTATAACTACAATATTAATATATAAAATTGTTTAAAAAATATAACGGGTATGTTTATCTTTCCAAATTTTGCTATTCGACATTTACAATTTTTTAGACCTTCTCCAACCGACGTGCAAATTTAACAATTACATTTCTCTTGCCTCATAAATAAAATATTTAACTACCAAAAATTTGGATTGTGCATGTAAATTTAACATAATAATCAATACAACAGTCATAAAATATTAAAAATATCCATAAAATATTTTTAAAATAAATTTTCCATGTAGAAATTAGAGATCATATAAAAAATGATTAAAAGAAATAGAACTATGTACACAACATTGGTATAAATTCAGACATAACATGATATTTCTAAAATATTTTTTGAAACAATTACGTTTTTTATTATTATTATTATTTACATGAAATTTGTAAATCAAATTTCTTTCTCTTGTTTTCATATCTAATACAAAATATTACTAAGGCGGAATTTATAAATTTGTAAAATATGTATGTAGTATTTAAAATTATCTCAACAATAAATATGTTTGCGTATATATCTCAACAATAATATTTGAAAAAAAAAAAAAAAAATCTCAACAATACTACATTATCAACCCTTACCCATGCGTCATTGACCCATACACAAGTCTAATATAGGCGCCACTATTATTTAATTTTTTTCCATATTTTTATAATTAACTAAAGAGAGATGCTACGGTCCGCCACGAAATTATTTTATCACAATTTGTAACTATTAGATCAATTATCTCCGACTGTTACACTATGATGTAACAGTTACAAACCTGATTGAATGATTTCTTAACGGGATAGTAACATTTCCCTTGACTAAAATCTACTCCGTATTAAAGAGTCGCACCCCTCTTTTCCAGCGACACCCGGCCGCCGGCTTCATCCCTAACATCCACCGCCACATAATCATCGTCTACCGGATTCACAATCCCACGGTGGAGCACCGGCAGATTTTCAGGCGGATCTCCGAAACACGCCTTCTCGGAAAATTCGTGAACCGAGACCGATAGCTCATCGACGATAACCGTGACGTCAATTAAAACGGACGCTATTACGAGAAGCGGCATGATCTGGCGGAGACGGCCGCCGGGTTTCCAATCGGACGGTGGGGGCGCATCCTCCAGGGCTGTCGTGAGGTCGTGGGATGCCGCTCGGTAGTTCCGCGAGTGGGCTTCGACGGCGGCGCGTTGAGGGAGCGTGGAGTTCTTCATGGCGGTGGAGAGATGTCGTAGGGCCTTGCCGGCCTCCGCGCTGATGGCGGCGATCAGTTTTTGGATTCTTGTTTGGATCTCCGATGAAGCTACCTGCGACTGCGAAGGGTAATATAGTCAATTTAGAATTATGATGGTATGTTATATTATGATTTAGTTATTTTTATTTATATTTTGGTAACTTTTTTATGATTAAGTATTAAAGGTGAGAAATTGAAAAATATATTAAATAACTCATAGACATGGTTATTGTGCTTATTAATTTTTTTTTTTTTTATTTTGGATTTTTTTGGGAAAAATATAATTGACACATTTTGCATGGTTTTTTTTAATGTTATTTTGCTCAAACTTTTCCTATAATTAGTGGGTATTTTTTGCAAATAAAAAAAGTATTGAAAAAATTATCATTTTTCCCAAATTATTGGGTCTTTTTTTTTGATCAAAATTAAAGAGACCTAAAATTTTGATTTACAAAAGCATAAATTTGGAATTTTTTAAAAAACCAAAAAAATAAATAAACAAATAAAACTCACTGCCTACATATAAGACTAAACTATAATTACTACATGATTGACATAACTATGAATTTTACACAAATGTTATTGTAAGGCTGACTAATAATTAGGCAATATAATTTTATAGTAGAAATATATACTTATAGAATCAAACATCATAATTTTATTTACATTATTTTTAAAAGTATGGAAATCATATAATTATATCATAAAATATCATAATTTTAATTACATTTATAAATCAGTATGTAATATGTTATAAAATTATGGTTATCTAACTATTAATGAACCTAATAGAATGTTAGAAATTTTATAAATATACTATTACTTTAACACCAAGATTAATTTTCATTTTTTCCTAATAATTAATTTTATTTAAAACATAAAAACAAAAGATATAGATAAGCTATATTATACCTACCTGAGATTTTGAGTTTATACAACTATTGAGTGCCTCAATTAAGCATGCACACTCCCAAACAAGAGCCCCAATCTTCAAATATTGTTTCCATGGATGACCAAATTTAAATTTACCATGAGGTGGCTCCCACCAAGCAAAATTTGCCTGAAAAAAAAAAAAAAAAAATCAAGTAAATTAATATATTTTACTTTACTCTATATAAAAGTAAAACAATTTATAACAAAAATATGTATTTTGTTTTGTAAAAGTATGACGAGTCGATTAGACTGAGACTGACGTTATGCAGATTCACACAATTTTGTTTAACAAATATGCATAATTTTAATTAAATTATTTACTTAAAACATAACATAAACAAAAATATAACATTTTATATTTACAATCAAATGAAAATTATTTATTACGAGAGTATAACGAGTTGACCTGAATAACGGTTATTTGAATGCGACTTATAACACAAGAAATTATATACTATTATATAAGAGAAATAATAATATAATAATAATAATATAATAATAATAATAATAATAATAATAATAATAATAATAATAATAATAATTAAAACAATCACCAAAGATTCCTCGTTGGCCTTGGAATTAATCACGCTTTTATAGCTCTGCAAAAATGACTTGTCATTTTCCTTGGAAAATGACTTGCTACTTTCATTCCCTTGGCAAAGTAAAAGTTCACCCCCAAAACCTATAAAAAGAAACAACAAATAAATAATAAAATCTGCCCACCACAATATATAATCACAATTTTTACTGGGCAAAATTGTCATCTAAAATAAAATAAAATAAAATTATTATTATTATTATTATTATTATTATTATTATTATTATTATATGTGTGTGTACCTTCTAAGAAAATAGCAAGTTTTTCAATATTGTCAGCCACCAGATTATGCAAATCCTGACCCGCCCAAACCGGGTAAACGAATATGGATATGACCATGCAAGTCGACCCGCCAATGACGATAGTCGAGAGCCTCTGGTGGGCCAGCTGCAGGATTTGGTCGACTCGAAAACCCGAGACTGCCACCATTGTGAAGGTGAGTATGAATACGACCACTCCATAATCGTACCTCCTCTTCACGTTAGGGAAAAACCTCGTAAATGTCGATATTGCAGCTGTATTTGAAATAAAATGTACAATTTGAGATTAGTGTAAAAAACAAAATTAAAAAAGTACTGAATATATTATTACTTTTTTAGTATCCTTTAATTAATTTCTCTCTTTGCCTTTTCTTTTTTCTTTTACTTTTGTAGATTTAGTTAACATGCAATTGCTCATAAAATATAATTTTTATTTTATTTACCTTATGAATGTAATTTTAAAGCAAATTTTATTTTAAGAAAAAAGAAAAATTAAAGGTATTTTTATTTAATGTCATTAATACCTAATAAAAAGACCAGAATCCCTAGAACAATAGGTTCTCCTTTTTGTCCACATAGATCAGCTAAATATTCAGCTCCAAGCCCTAATGCACCGGCCACCAGCGTTGCAAAACCTCTGTTCAAGCTTTTTGATAGAGTCCCACCTGAGCAAGAATTAAATATTAAAAATATAAATAAATAAGATGATTTAGATTTTAAATTATGTTTATTTACACAATTCTCTTTTTTAGGAGAAAATGAAATGATATATTTTGATATTTTAAAGAAGATTATAAGTCAAACAACTTATATATATATATATACACAAACTAGCAAAGGTGACACTAAGTGTAACAATAAAGGGTTGCCAAAATTGAGCATGGATTATGTCAAGGGCAAGTCGATTTTTTTTCTTCATTACTCGAGTTCGACGAGCGACGTAATATGTGTTCGACTTGACTCATGAAAAAGATAAGAATACTCGAGCTCAACCCGATGCTCGAGATGGATCAAGTTCGGCTTGAAATTTTAACAACTAAATTTAAATTTAAAAGTAGTATTTTTAATCTAAATAGGCAATAATGGGCCTTGATGTTCTCATATTATATTGATAATTAAACTACATGGGGTGTTTATGTAAGTAAAAAGTCAAGCTGCTCGTCGGGCTCAAGAATTGACCGATCTCGAATCGAGCATAGCGCTCGCGAGCGAATCGCGAGCCACTCGACTCGTTTACAGCCCTAAATATGAACAAAACTAATTTTAATCAAAACAATTTGGGAGCAATTTTCATGTAAATTTATCTAACATAAATTCCTCACCAACTGTGAATTCGAAAACAACGACGACCGTTAGTATGGCCCACATCCCGGCCTGCCCGAACCCTTCGTAAAGCGGCCGAAAATAGTACAGCATGGACACGATCGTGAGGCCCAGCCCGACTTTCGCGCCATGCACGACTCGTCTAACGTCGTCTTTCCCGACTTTCTTGGCTGTCTTCATAGTCTCCACTACATAGGATTTGAGTTTCCTAGCATTTTTGTTATTGTTGTTGGTCTCCATGGATGAAAGCTCTTAAAAGAGAAAAAAAGCAAGAAAATTGTAAAGGAAAAAGATTGTGTTAGGAGAAAATGAGAGACTTAGTTGTGGATGTTAATGTGATGAGAGTTTTTTGGTGGTGGGATTGCCATTTATATAGACAAAAGATGGAGTTTGGCTGTATTTTTTTTTAATTTATTTATTTTGTTATTAGTAATTTTAGTATGATTGTGTTGTCATTCACAATTTTTTGTGTTTTTTAGGTTTGGTTGCAATTTATGGAATTTTTTGGAAGTTAAAAGACTAATCATGTTTTTTTTTTTTTTTTTTTT